TATGGATATTTTTCTTACAAAAACGCATTGATTCACTACAGGAGGCCTTTGTTCACCCCCCGGAGCCGTGTGAGACACTTTTTATTATGGATGCATGCACTTTATTTAACTTCTTTTGAACTGAAGCAATGCAACACCCGCTGACTGCCATTAAACAGCTTGAAAGATCAAAGTACATTTTTTATATAACTCCGACTGGATTCATCTGAAAGAAGGAAGTCATATACACCTAGGATGACTTGAGGGTGAGTAAATAATAGGTTCATTTTCATATTTGGGTGAACTATCCCTTTAACCAACCTATATACATCAATTTATACCAACAAAACAAAACTTTTTTATTTGGTCTATAAGGTAAAAAGTGCAGGTTGTTATGCACACAATTTAATTAGCCAAGTTTGTATTAAACTGTTCAAAAATTCCATTAAAAAACTGTATTTTAATAATAATTTAATCATCATTTCTTTTTGAAATATGATTTTTTAATTGTATAATTACTTTCATAATTGAATTATTCCATTTGTATAGAGTGCACATTTTATTTTATTATCCTTTTTGTAACTTTTAGTAAAATTGTGAAAATAGTTATTAAATGTAATGCATATCTTACCAGGGTTATTATCATTAATTAAAACAAAAACCAGAAAAAAAACACTTTCTTTATTTGAAATAAAATAAACATGAACTTAAATAAAATAAAATACAATTTTAGTTAGTTGCCAAAGTACTAAAGTACTAAAATAACTAAGACTAAAATAAATAAATGAAATGAAACAAACTAAAACTAATAAATAAAAATGAATAAACATTGTATATACATATAAAAAATAATACAAATGATAAAAACAAAATAACAAAACAAAAGAAAAGTGAAAATATTAACAAAACTATAATAGTATATCAGTGATACTTAAAAAAACTGCATCTTACTTGTTAACTTTAATTTATAATTTAAATTATATATATCGTATTAGACTTTGACCATTCGTATGAGTTGACCATTAAAAAACATACTGACCACTTCTCAAGACTCGTACATTAAATTCTATTACGTTAAAATATCTAGCTGCATTTAAACACGTGTCCACATAACATAAATACATGAACACACACACAAAAAAACATAAACACAAAAAAATGTCTCTTGTGTGAACAGCTTTTATGGTCAGATTATTTGAAAAACAAAACATGTAAATAACATTTAATTAAAACAGATAGTAATTTGCTAAAATGTCTCATGATCAATTAAATGCAACCTCTGCAAATAAAAGTAACAAAAACAGCATTGCAAACTGTTTTCAAACTGAACAGTAGTGTATTGAGGTACGTCTTGATGAACTCTTTAAGCACACAGATGTCTCCTGAAGCACAGAGAAACATATGGTTTTACTGAGCCGGAGCTCAGTGGGGATGGGCAGCTCATAACTGTGATCGATGTCTCTGCTCTGCTTTTGCTCTTCATAGTCTCAAGCGCCACAACCCTCAAACTCTGCAGCAATTATCCTGTCAAGCTTGTTTTTAAATCATAATTAAACACTGGCGATAGGCCCTTCTCCATCTATTTGTCAGCACATTCCATATTTTGAATCCTCATATTACATTTCTTAAATACTTACTTTGGTATTTTGATTTCATGTTTACCATTCCATATTTTCCTGTGGGAACTCAACATAATGTGGCATCTCATGCGAATCCTCCCTTTTTAATTGCAGGACTGCACAGTGTTTGAAATGGAGGAGAAGATATTAGAAGTGGTAAGTAGAAAGTCTTGTCGTCAGTTATTTCTCACACAGCATATTTATCGTTCAGGCATTTAAATGTCTCTCAGGTCAGAGATTCAGCTGTTATCTGTGATGCATTTGGGTTCATTCTAAGTGTGGAGATGCAACTCTATTGTTCAGTTCGAGATGTTTTCCTTAGGAACCACTGGAACATCCTGTGGTAGATAACAGTATCTCAGAATCTCCATTAAAGGAATGTTCCGGATGCAATATAATAACTTTGACAGTTTGTAAAAACAAGCATAAATTGGGTTAAAACTTACGATGAAAATCTATGGTGCAAGGCATTGCATTGGAATAAATGTTAAAATACACATAATATACAAAATTCTGGTATTTTAGCTTAATATGCTGAGTGTGCAAGTGAAACGGAATAAGTTACAAGATATAATATTGAGCAGTGCTTCATTTGATCCTTTGGGATTTTATTGGATTTGATAAGTCAGCCCCATGTTGCTTCAAAATATTTTGGACCCCATTGACTTCCATTGTATGGACAAAAAACATTCTTGAGAATGTCTTTTTCTGCAGATGAAAGAAAGTCATATGAGTTTGGAAGAACATGAAATAGAGTTTTCCTTTTTGGGTGAACTATCCCTTAAAGTAAATCAGGTTAACTTTGACTTCACGATTTCATCCAGCCAGCCTCAGTCTACAGTGCATGTACAAGAGATTATGCTGTGCACATCATGTCTGGCTTTAACAGAGTGCAGATCTTTCTGGAAGCCACTAGAATCGCCTCCTTTTGTGTAAATGATCTCTAACTGTGTGCATTTGTTCTCTAGTACATAGTAAACAAATGCAATTTGACATTTGCATCACAAATGTCATTCTGATATAGTAAACTTGCTCGATAGCCCACCCGGTACAGCATTGCATTTGCGATGCAGAGCACTCGGCTAGGAATCCCGTGAAATTAATCATGATAAAAGAGCTTAAAGAATAGTAAAAGCATGCTAAAGTGGCATCATGGTTGTGTCAGCAAATGCGTTTTTATCATACGTTTGCGTTTGTTAACACTTTCGGTTAGGTTTAGCGTAGGGCGTAAGTGGTTAATTTTTTAAACAAGCACTAACCCTTTAGCACCAATCACAGGATATTTCATTTACAAACGGCTGCGGTACATACAACAACCAGTTTTAGTACCGCTCACTGGACATTTCTCTTTAAAAGTGTTTAAAAGAACAGCATAATATTTTCGCATAAATGTTTTTACAATGAGCCTGGGTTGTCCAGTCACTTATGAAGTCCTGGATAAGTTATCATGACCAAATGAATCATAAATACCACAACATTATTCGTTCTGTTCATTTCAGTCACGTGTTTTGACTGGCATTTGTGATTCCACCATGAGGATCACCTCTGACCCCTTAAAGAGTCAAATGACCTGTTTGGAGGAAGTCACCATCACTAATATCAAAGCAGACGAGGGACTGGTGAGTGTCAACAACCTAAGACCTGTTGGTGTTGTTTTGCCTGTTGCTTAACAACTGCGTATTGTTTGCTTATTTTTTAAAGGGAATGTATATCAAATCCACTTACGATGGGCTGCACGTCATCACCGGAACCACAGAAAATGTGAGTCAACAGAACAACATCGCTTTGACTTGTTGCTGTTAATGCATCAATGTCCAGCATCATTCAAGCCACAGTCTGTGACTAATGGAGTTCACATGCAAGCATTGCTTCAATTGATTCATGATGTCTGGCTGTGTTTCACCCTTCAGTCTCCAGCAGACAGAACTCAGAGGATTCATGCAGGCGATGAGGTGATACAAGTCAACAGACAAACAGTGGTGAGTCCATCCATCTGTCACATGATAGTGAGGAGGATTATGGGTAATTGTTCTGCCCTGAAAGAGTGAGAGGAGGCAAGATGGTGAGCTTTTGTGTTAGACTGAGTAAACCTGATCCATGGGAGAGAGAGCGGGAGATATGTGCTGAAAGGCCTTTTGGATAACCATATTGTTATGAACACCTTTATCATTGTTTTGGATCAGTGCTGTTTTTTATTCACCTCATATTTACAGAGAAAGCATTGGGTTGGTGCCGACCCATTTGTGTTTGTACAACATAAAGCTATTTGACTACATTTGCTCAGCTACAGTAGGATCAACTTTCCCCCATTTATGATCGTTTATGTCCAGGTTTGGTTTGTGCACTTGTAGTATATTTATAAAAAAAAAGATAATATTAATTAAAATTAAAGTGAAGGCCACTTTAGCATACTTAGGGCCAGATTTACTAAATGGCAAATTAGCGCTAGAGTGCAATTCCATAAAAGCGCCGATGGGAGGGGAAAATTCTGCGGGTGATTTACTGACAATGCGCACATTAAAGAACACATACGCAACATCTCATTTACATATCGACCAACGCAATCTACCAAGAGCAGTACAAATTACCGCTTGCTTTAAGACATGCTTTTTTTGGGCATTAAATAATGCCGCAAATACCAGTGAATTGACGAGCGCAAATCTTAGTAAATCGCGTGATTCATTAAAATACATGCTAAATCTTTGTTGCAATAATCTTTTGTCATGTTTTAAAGAAGTACAATTATTTTAATGTCACTAGCATACTACAGCACATTAAAAGTACTTAATTATATTTCTGTCATGACAACTCTCGAAGGGATTGGCATGGTAATGTACATGACAATGTTAATGTATTTGGTCTTGGTAACTGTAGTGTCTTAGCAGATATAATACATAGCAGATATGTTCACTGAATATAAACCTAACAGACCACTCAGATCATTAGGATACGAAGGGTTCACACAAAACAAGGGGAGTCCGCTTTTAGTTATTATGCCGTTTGATATTACAGTTAAAGTTAATTTATTTTAAATATAAACTGCAACTGCATCATTACAAATGTGTAATTAAAAGACATACACGTTTCAATAGAAATGACATTAAAGTATGTTTGTTTAGTTTTTTAGAAAAAAAAATTAAACACTTTATCTCTTTGTGTGAAATGAAGTTTCAAATACATAAAAGAACATTTAAAAAATGCTATTTAAAAAACTCATGTTGAGACATAAAATCACATTTATTCGAAATACAGATGCAGCTGTGCAAAATACAGCTATTTATTGAAGAAAATAAGATATATGCAATCATGAGAAATTACAAGAACAATTACGATTGCAATTATGAGAACTTAAGCAATTACAAGCAGTACAGGAACAATTATGAGAAAGTCGTAGATACAAGAAATGAAGGTAACAGTCACCCATAAACAGATGTAATGCTTTCTTCTTAGGTGGGCTGGCAGTTGAAGAATCTGGTGGAAAAGCTCAGAGAAGATCCTCAGAATGTGACACTAATGGTGAAGAAAAGACCATCAGGTACCTGCGGCTTCACACCAGCACCGCTGAAAAACATGCGCTGGAGACCCCCTGTCATCCAGGTACTGCCCTCATTCTCCTATAGTTTAGCCTCTCAGGAAGCTTTTGTCTAAAAAAAAAAGTATCATAGTTTACACAAAATATTAAGCAGCACAACTGTTTCAAATCAATAAGAAATGTTTTTGAGCAGCAAATCAGCATATTAGATTGATGTCTGAAAGATCATGTGGCACTGAAGACTGGAATAATGATGCTGAAAATTCAGCATTGCATCACAGAAATAAATTACGTTTTATATATATTCAAATAGAAAACAGTTATTTTAAATTTTAATAATATTTCACAATATCACTGTTTTTACTTTATGTTTTGAATAAACAAATGCAGCCTTGGTAAGCATAAAAAAAAATACAAATCTTATCAACCCCAAACTTTTGAACACTAGTGTAGATTGTTTGTAGTTAGTCGTATGCAAATGACAGCTTGTGAGGCATTTTCTACTGTTTCTGTGTTTCACATTTGAACAAACTCCATGAACTTTCATTGTTTCAACATGAGTGGATGACTTTGCATGGGTGTTGCAGAATTAAAACAATGAAACATTTCTTCCTCTCCACATACACACACACACACACACACACGTTAACTTGCCTTTGAAAATGCATGTTGATGTCACACATCTTCCACAGCTGACTTATGCTGATTAACAGCAGTTAAGATTGCTGGACCAGCAGCAGGGTTTCACATCAGGATGTGTGTTTCCACCTGATTAAACTCCCGGTCCAAATGTCACACAGCCATTGATTTCAGAAATACTGTAGCTAATATTAGTCCATATGGACTCTCCCAAACACCTCGCTATTCTTTTAAAGGTTAGACTGTAGACCACAGTTCAAGAAAAACTATTTTCTTTCAATGAAAAAACATTATTAATGTAAAAAATAATCCATGATAAAAAGGCACTTTGATTTGTGTTATGAACATGAATGCTATTACAAATCAGGCTTCATATTGAGGAGTGGTGTGCTATTACTTTTAAAAGCAATTGGACTAAGATTTTTGCCTAAAAATGACAACTATCCATAATGCATAAGCATTATGGCGGCAAGTTTTGCACGAACAAACCAGAAATAAATTACGTTTTATATATATTCAAATAGAAAACAGTTATTTTAAATTTTAATAATATTTCACAATATCACTGCTTTTACTTTATGTTTTGAATAAACAAATGCAGCCTTGGTAAGCATAAAAAAAAATACAAATCTTATCAACCCCAAACTTTTGAACACTAGTGTAGATTGTTTGTAGTTAGTCGTATGCAAATGACAGCTTGTGAGGCATTTTCTACTGTTTCTGTGTTTCACATTTGAACAAACTCCATGAACTTTCATTGTTTCAACATGAGTGGATGACTTTGCATGGGTGTTGCAGAATTAAAACAATGAAACATTTCTTCCTCTCCACATACACACACACACACACACACACGTTAACTTGCCTTTGAAAATGCATGTTGATGTCACACATCTTCCACAGCTGACTTATGCTGATTAACAGCAGTTAAGATTGCTGGACCAGCAGCAGGGTTTCACATCAGGATGTGTGTTTCCACCTGATTAAACTCCCGGTCCAAATGTCACACAGCCATTGATTTCAGAAATACTGTAGCTAATATTAGTCCATATGGACTCTCCCAAACACCTCGCTATTCTTTTAAAGGTTAGACTGTAGACCACAGTTCAAGAAAAACTATTTTCTTTCAATGAAAAAACATTATTAATGTAAAAAATAATCCATGATAAAAAGGCACTTTGATTTGTGTTATGAACATGAATGCTATTACAAATCAGGCTTCATATTGAGGAGTGGTGTGCTATTACTTTTAAAAGCAATTGGACTAAGATTTTTGCCTAAAAATGACAACTATCCATAATGCATAAGCATTATGGCGGCAAGTTTTGCACGAACAAACACCACTCACATTTCAGGAAGTGTAAACATCTAGTTTACATAATGTACCTTTTAATGAATGAAAGCCTTGCTTGCCAACAAATGTCCTTCTTAATATCTGTTTATGCAATTCACATAATCCATACAGGAACTTACTGAGTAAAAAGGCTATTATCGGTTCTTTCTTCAAAAGTAGAACAGTGCTCTTGAAATGATGTGGATTTATGTCCATTCTTGACCTAGCAAAGTCTATAATTAAAGGCTTAAAGAAAGTCTACATTCAACAAAAATTGGCATGTCTCACAAAATAAAGCAGGTCCATGAGAAGAAAAAAATACTTAAATACAAAGTGTCTTAATGTAGTGATTTAGTGTTGAGATCAAAGGTCTATGGATTCAGATTTAGTGAGAATGATAAGCTCTGTGATCCAACTAATCTCATTTAAAAGATTATATAAGATGTACTTTAGCAAGGGTCTCTTCACAGCTATCGTGTGTAAATATATCTTAAACCAGGCAGAACGAGGGACTAATAACTTTGTTTGTTTTAGAGCCCATCGTATGTGCCTGCCGCCCAGTCATCCAGAAATCCTGTGCAAATCAAGCGTCCGGAGAAACCTGCAATTTTAGATCTCTATATTCCTCCTCCTCCTTCCATGCCATACAGCCCACGGTCAGTATCTGTTTCTCTGATAACGTATCACCTTCATATTAAATCAATTATTCTGTGGCTCTGTTCCAAAACATAGTGAGCTGCCTTGCAGTACATTACAAATTATGCAAACTTAGCTCAAAATATACTTCAGTTTTGACACGTATGCAATACAGGCGCTCGACACATGCGCAGTTTCATCATTGTCCAATGTCTGCGTTATTTTTCTTCAGAATTTATGATTGACTAAAATGTCTCATACTGATTTAAACTAGAGTTGTGGGGATCTCTTCCTCACACAAATGTGGCTGTCTAAATTTTTGCTGTCTGCAGTAATCTCACTGCCAGGTAGTGTTACCACCTTGTGGAAAGAAAAATGGCAAAAAAAACATTAGCCTACAATTAACCATTAGCCTGCAACCTTAGCCTACAGAATATTTAGAAAAATTCGTTACACTATGCAGGTACTATACTGGTGACGATATTTACGCCACGTGAACTGTATGCATACTTAGCATACTGAAGTGTACAATGTGCTTACAATTGATTCCAGTAGTTTTATGTTAGCATTTTGCTAAGCTATCTGCACTATTGGTGCATTCAAGCCATAACAGAAAGATTGTATTAATGAGTTAAATGCACATCTGCCACCACAAAGTCGTAATTACGAGTGGGAGACTCAGAACTTTCTCTAAGCATGGATTTTTCGAGTTGGTGACGTGTTGGACGCATTAGATGCAACCTCTGTATTGATGGTAAATTTGAACTTTTTTTAAATTTACAATAAATCTAGCTAAGCTGCAAGTATAAAATATGACATTAGTATACAGTTACGGTAGAATATATACAGTAATGATTCAATTTACAGCACCTTCATAAATTGATTAAAAAGCAAAAACACTCTTGATGCACATTCTTTATTCATCATTTTGTAGAAGTAGGTTTGTAGAAATCTTGCTGGATTTTTCGTAGAAAAGGTGCATCTTGACTCAGTGACTCACCTGACGTCGTAATTATGACTTCCCAACTTGTAAATACAAACTTCCTTTATCTTTGTATGTGTGCAGGGATGCAGAGACGAGTGAATATGCAGGAGTAAAGATGAGACCAAAAGGTTCAGAGTCGCCCAACTCTGGATTTTTCGTAGAAAAGGTGCATCTTGCTCTGGCCAAAGTGACTCACCTGACGTCGTAATTATGACTTCCCAACTTGTAAATACAAACTTCCTTTATCTTTGTATGTGTGCAGGGATGCAGAGACGAGTGAATATGCAGGAGTAAAGATGAGACCAAAAGGTTCAGAGTCGCCCAACTCATCTCTGGATTTAGCTAGTAGACGGCGCTCAAATATCAGTGACTACAACAGCAAACCTAGCGTAAACCCAGCTGAGTTCGCCGTCCCACAAGCGCGACTGAGACAGCGGACCCCATCTAGAGGTTAGTACCTGTTCAACCCACGTGACTTTATTTTGTAACATCACCAAAGCAGCCGCACTGATAACTCGTGTGAACGTACTATCAAAGATGACACCCAAACTTTTAACCTGTTTGGATACAGGCACTGGGCACAAAATTATCAATATTTACTGAAGAACAATTAGACTTAGCCAGATTGGTTTTTGAGCCAACAAGGAGAATTTCAGTTTTACTACTATTTAGTTTCAGAAGATTCGATGTGAACCAGTCTTTAATTTCAGCTACACAGTCTGAGAGGATAGACAGAGGAAACGTAGAGGTAGGTTTGGAGGACAGGTAAAGTTGGGTGTCATCAGCATAGCAGTGAAACTGAATACCAAACTTCTTAAAAATATTACCAAGAGGTAGGATATAAATAATAAATAAAAGAGGACCGAGAACTGAGCCCTGGGGAACCCCAGTAGTAATATATGAAGTAGGACTGCACGATAAATCGCATGCGATATTTAAAGCACATCATGTCAGTAAAGTCGTTCTGTAATCAGCAGTAAATCTCCATCACGTGCGGGCTTTCACATGGAGCCAGATGAGAGCAAGTTTTGTATTTCATTTGGAAACCAAGGTCCTAGAGTCTGGAGGAAGGGTGGAGAAGCTCATAGCCCAAGTTGCTTGAAGTCCAGTGTTAAGTTTCCACAGTCTGTGATGATTTGGGGTGCAATGTCATCTGCTGGTGTTGGTCCATTGTGTTTTTTGAAAACCAACGTCACTGCACCCGTTTACCAAGACATTTTGGAGCACTTCATGCTTCCTTCTGCTGACCAGCTTTTTGAAGATGCTGATTTCATTTTCTAGCAGGATTTGGCACCTGCCCACACTGCCAAAAGCACCAAAAGTTGGTTAAATGACCATGGTGTTGGTGTGCTTGACTGGCCAGCAAACTCACCAGTCCTGAACCCCATAGAGAATCTATGGGGTATTGTCAAGAGGAAAATGAGAAACAAGAGACCAAAAAATGCAGATGAGCTGAAGGCCACTGTCAAAGAAACCTGGGCTTCCACCTCAGCAGAGCCAGAAACTGATCACCTCCATGCCACGCCGAATTGGGGCAGTAATTAAAGCAAAAGGAGCCCCTACCATGTATTGAGTACATGTACAGTAAATGAACATACTTTCCAGAAGGCCAACAATTCACTAAAAATGTTTTTTTTTATTGGTCTTCTGAAGTATTCTAATTTGTTGAGATAGTTAATTGGTGGGTTTTTGTTAAATGTGAGCCAAAATCATCACAATTAAAAGAACCAAAGACTTAAACTACTTTATTTAATACACGAGTTTCACAATTTGAGTTGAATTACTGAAATAAATGAACTTTTCCACGACATTCTAATTTATTGAGATGCACCTGTACTTTAAATTCAATGCGGTATTTAACCAGGAGCCAATGCAAGTGTTGTAGTACAGGAGTAATGTGTTCAGTTATGGGAGATCTGCAAATAATTTGTGCAGCTGAATTCTGTACTAACTGAAATTTATAAAGAAGTTTTGAACATGGACCATAAAAGAAAGCATTACAATAATCAATTCAAAAAGTGACTAAAGCATGAACAAGAATAGCTGTGCTCCTTACTGAGAGAACAGAACGAAGTCGATTAATGTTACATATATGGAAATATGCAGATCGAATGACACTGTTTATATGTGCTTCGAATGACAATGTACTATCAAAGATGACACCCAAACTTTTAACCTGTTTGGATACAGGCACTGGAAAATTATCAATATTTACTGAAAAACAATTAAACTTAGCCAGATTGGTTTTTGAGTCAGTTTGAGATCAGTTTTGCTACTATTTAGTTTCAGAAGATTCAATGTGAACCAGTTTTTAATCTCAGCTACACAGTCTGAGAGGATAGACAGAGGAAACGTAGAGGTAGGTTTGGAGGACAGGTAAAGTTGGGTGTCATCAGCATAGCAGTGAAACTGAATACCAAACTTCTTAAAAATATTACCAAGAGGTAGGATATAAATAATAAATAAAAGAGGACCGAGAACTGAGCCCTGGGGAACCCCAGTAGTAACATATGAAGGTTTTGATGTAAACTGCTTCAACTGCACAAATTGAGTGCGACCCGTTAAATAAGATTGAAACCAGGTCAGAGCAGTACCCATAATTCCAATAGACTCCAATCTGTCCAACAAAATACTGTGTGAAATAGTGTCAAATGCTGCACTCAGATCTAGCACTCAGATTTGTCTTATGACAAAGAAGTCAAAATAATAAGGTTTGAATCAGTCTGATGAAGCCACTAAATGAATGAACTGACTGAATCAGTCAGAGCCATTACTGAATCAACACGACTCACTGAACTGCAAGTTATCTTTCATTCTGTTCTAAAATGAAGCCAAGCTGTTCATGAAAATCAAATTACTACCCAGCTAACAAAATCATGTTCTAAGAACTTTTTGCAAATGTTTTGAAAATGTTATTTCTGAATGCTTTCGTATCATTCAAAAAGTCAAGTTTTTTAAATGTTTTAAAAGCGTTTTTTGTAATGCGAACATTAAGGGAGCATTCCATTTTATAATTTTCCAAACATTAAGGGAACGTTACCTTTGAATGTTCTCTGAACGATCTGAAACAAGTAGTAACATTTAAAAAAACGTTAAATATCAAAATAAAATAAAACATTCCATAAATTGTGTATAAGTAATGTTTTTGTGCTGACGTTTTGAGAACATTAGTAAAGCCCAGATAACTTTGAATGAACGTTCTATGAACATTACTGGAAAAAAGTTGGTTCAAAACTTTAAGAGAACCTTCCGAGAATATTAACCAAAATTCTGAGAATGTTCCTTGTTAGCTGGTTAGCATTACTGACTAATTGTCCATATGTCAACATGTGAAGTTTTTAATAAAGCTCTTTAGTGAACTATGTGGCATTTGAGTGCATTGTGAACAAAGCTTCAAAACAAAATCAAATAAAATCTGCACAGAAATAAAAGAGGAGACTCTCATGGATGGTTCCATGACGTCTGCTTCCTTTTCACTCTGAGCCTTTAAATAAAAGTCTTAGCCAGCATGGCTCAAGCAAAGACACAATTAGACTGATTCTTTCATTGTGCATGTGCTTTAGGTAAGCCACGTCCCATGTCCATGCCAGTAGACACTTGCCTAGGCGTGTCGGACTCCCCCTCCAGACCCTGGGCTCTTGGACGGAAAGGTAAGCGTAACACCTGCCTGTGTGTAAACTACCGCTGAAGCGAGTTAATCTCCAGCTGTCAGCGTAAACATTTCACAAGCCCAGTTACATGGGTGGGAGCAGACAAAGGTCAGATAACGCTGTATGCATTGCATTTTTGTCTCCGTTTGTCAGTAGCTCAAGGGGTAATCTCTGTATACCCATCAGTAAACATGTGCAATGTTTTTGCAGACTATAAACAGATGTAGAGTTGTTTTCCTGTTGCTACTGAAGAATGCCTGTTATCATAGCTAGTCAAAAGCAAGTTATCGTGTTGCATCATGATTTTTTTTTTTTACATTGTTGCTTTGTTCGTAGTCTGGCAGAATGAGAGCATAAATCTGCATAAATTCCACATTGTAACTTATTGTCACATTGTAACTTAAACTTGTCACATTAGCAAATTAGCAAAAAGTTACTTTCAAAACAAGCAGCTTTCCGCTGGAAATCTGTCTGGAAAACTCATAAAATTTGCTGGAAAATCATTAACATGACCAAACCTTAAATCTGTAATCAGTGGCACCATATGCAATTACAGACTGGTGTGTAAAATGTGTGCCAAAGTATGAGCAAAAGGAATAAGTTTTGATTATTTTATGGACATAATTGGCGGTTTCTTCTGCTTGATTTAATTATATATATGAGTTAAATATACTAATATACAGTGGGTACGGAAAGTATTCAGACCCCCTTAAATTTTTCACTCTTTGTTATATTGCAGCCATTTGCTAAAATCATTTAAGTTAATTTTTTTTCCTCATTAATGTACACACAGCACCCCATATTGACAGAAAAACACAGAATTGTATATATATATATACATACATGTGTGTGTATATATATGTATATATATATATATACACACATATATATTTAGCTATATTTCAAATTATTGTTTAAAATTGTATGAGAACTTAAAAAGGAGTAATATTAACATTATATTAAAATACTAATAATAGTAACTATTTTTTTTTCTAAATTGTGACTATCCCATATTTGTGGTGTCATTTCCAATGCCCTGAAAATGTTAACAAAAAATTAAGTTTAAAAAAAAAATACAATTAAAAAATATTTTTCACAAATAAAGTTTGTTTATTGAGGAAGACAACAGTGTGAGAGTAGAGTGTGCTTGAGATAAAAGAAGAAGAAAACAAGCAAAAATCAATATAAATGTCTTTTTTGTTTTACTTTAATTCTGTCAAATTAGGAAAAACCTGATTGTAAATGTTTTGAGTGATTTGTGTATGTTTCTGTGTATGTAAACGAATGTATTTTGTTTTATGTGTAACTAAATGTGCTGCCTATCTTGGCCAGGACCCTCTTGTAAATGAGATTTTAAATCTCAAGAGTTTTTAATTTCCTGGTTAAATAAAGGTAAATAAAAAAAATAAAATAAAAGTGTCAATGGTGTCTGTCATGCAATACATCTTTTTAGATGTTCTGGAAATTAGACTGTGTTGGGTTGGGGGGGTTGGGGATCATGCCTATGAAAAAAAATAATAATAAAGAAAAAAATACTTAATTTTCCTGTGATGTGAACTGTTGGACATAGTGGACAAATTAAATTAACTAGTGCAGTATGAAAAGTTTGAAGATATTTTCTTGTCCCACAGGGTTAAAAAATGGCAATAGTAACTTTGAGCTATGAGAACAAAGCAGAATATACAACTCTCACATTATTAAAATGACTTTGGTTCCCAACAAACTAACAAAAACAACGTGACTCAGCCAATTAGATTGACTCTTGCGATTTTGAAAAGCTTTTGCCATTTTTGTCTTTATCCTTGAACAGTTTGAGAATGCCATCAAAGGTTTTCAATTATGGTAAACAGCTCTCATAAAAGGTGTTTCCATCCTTACATGATGTGTCTGGTCTGTCCTCAGGTGATGAGATCTTGCACAGGTATCTGAGTAACGAACAGATCCCCACCATCTCAGAAGAGTCGCCCTGTTACCCGCTGCCCTACCGCCCCACAGGAGAACGCCAGCTCATCCGAGGGGTCGACCACATCCGCGGCAGCCAGTGCTTTATCAACGCAGACCTACACACCAGCGCCACCATACCCTACCAGGAGGCCGTCGCTCGGAAGCCTGCAGCCAAATCTTCCAAGAGACCCCCCTCAGAACCCTCACTGTTCAGCAGCTGGATCGCCCGACTCAAGCTGCTCACACACTGAACATCTGTCCGTCTGCAGTATTGTCACTTCAGATCCAGAATCAGATCCAGAACGCTCCACAGGACCTGTTGAAATTCAGTTGGGTCAGTATTAAAGACATCCTCAGTGAAATGCCTGTTACTTTATTTAAGGTTTCTTCAGCATTAAGGACACTACTGAAAACTCTTTCTCTGATAAATCAGGTCTTCAAAAGGATTTTCACTTGGAACTGTGTTATCAATAAGTTATTTAATTGTGTGCATATATTGTATTTTATTGATACAGGTCAAGCATATTTCCCACTTAATAAATAGCTTTTTTAAACATATGCTTTAGGTAAGTTAAAGATATGTTATCTCTGAAACAAGAAAGAGACTGTACTTACTTGCATACTGTACATGCAAGAGAATTTTTTTTTTTTTAATAAATGTGCACATTGACGTGTCTATAAGGCAAGAAAGTTTTTGTGAAATTCAAAATGTCTGCTTCAGGGTTGGGAGACTTGACTCCCTTTTAATACATGAGTGTAAATTTGACAGGAAGTTGAATTGACTGAAATGCAATCTAATGAAATTTCAAAGGTCCAAGGAAATTTGACTAATTATGGCTAATAAGTAGAATATACTTTATTCCGATTAGAAAAAAGAAAAACAACTCACTTCAAATTAACTATTAAATTAATAATCAAATTTTTTTAAAATTGAGGTCAGTAAGATTTGTTTTAAGAAATTAATACTTTTATTCAGTACTTTTATTCACTGTTTTTCTTTTTAACTTTTTATTCATCAAATAATAATTGTAGCTAAAAAATTATGTTTCCACAAAAATATTAACTAACCATTTTCAGCTGTGATAATAATAGTAAATTTTGAGCTCCAAATTAACATACTGGAATGACTTTTAAAGGATCATGTGATGCTGAAGACCAGAGTAATGGCTGCTGAAAATTCAGCATTAAATAAAAATTTTAAATACATAAAAAAATATATATATATCTTAAAGGGGTCATATGATGCTTTTTTAAAGATCATTATTTTGTGTATTTGGTGTAACAGAATATGTTGACATGTTTTAATGTTCAAAAAACACATTATTTTTCAAATACTGTACATTATTGTAGGTCCTCTATGCCCCGCCTCTCTCAAACGCTTCGTTTTCTACAAAGCCCCCTCCTT